TTGGTCCTGATTACTTTTTAGAAGCTATGAGTGTAATTTTGATATCAAAATCTAAGGGCAAAAAATGAAAGATAAAATCACAAATCACTCTAAGTTTTAAAATGCAAAATTCCTGAATAAAATCCTTGTAAACTGATGTAAAGTATTTGTTTAAAAAATAATACATGACACCAAGTCAAGTTTATCAAACCATTTGATAGAAACCAACTTTATTAATCCACTGTAACCTACAGACTTCCCCAATTTCAATCAACATCCTAATTGGTATTCTACTAACAACTATGTACTTACTCAACTTCAAAGCATTCTAATATGGTGTTTTCGAAACTGTAAAATGTAAATCAAACTTCATTTGAAAGAACAAATTAATAAATGTGGCTAACTCTCCATTCCACCCCGCTCCCACCACTATCACTACTTTGATTTGACTCTCATCTCTCCTTTCCTAGATTACTGGACAAACCTCTTAACTGAGTTCCTGGCCCAGTGTGGGGGAGGAGGTTTTCAACTTAAAATCGGCACTCTTTTTAGCACGCACAGCCTTTTAAAGTCCCTGCCCTGGCCTCTTATCTCATCCTCTTCCTTCCTTTTTTTTCCACTTATATCACTAATAGAAGTTCCTAGAATGAATGAAGCAGCAGTCTGGCCTTGAGTACCTTAGCACCTGTATCTTGCCTTTCTGAAAAGCCCATCTTCCCATTCTATTTCTTCAAAACTCGAAGTTCTTCTTCTTCCAGAAAGCCTTTTGTGACTTCCTCTGGTCTTACTTGTAGCCCTAGTCAAGATTTTCATACTACAGTCAGCACCCTGCTGCAAAGGCTTGCCTCACGCCATTCTATAATCAGTGCTTTAACAGTCTGTTCACTCCTCTTAGAACAGAAGCAGCCAGACAACTGAGGAGATGATTAGGTGAGAAGTAATGGAGGGACTATGAGAAAACTTAAGAGGAACAGAGGGCATCTAAGAGAAAACTTCAACCTTGAGGTAATGAAGAAGACAGCCAAAATGTCCGTCCTAGAGCTAAAGGAGGCCATTTAGAAATTTAGAATAAGTAAAAAGGACTTTACTTCTTCCATCAGTCAAAGTACCAAACCCTAAAGAGGAACAGACAGAATGGCATTTGTCCTTGCTGGTTCTTACCCTTCTTCTAGGGATGGGAAGAGTTTAGGTCTAGTTATTGAGAAAAGAGTTCACCAAGAGTAAAAGAGATATAGTAAGCAGAGAAAGAAAAAGGAAACGTTTGCCAACTCAGAATCCAGAATCTGAGATGTTAATGGCTTATAAGGAATAAGAGCTTCAGGAAGAAAAATAAGAGTAGTTAAGAATCCCATAGTCTCCATGCTCCAGGCCCTGCCTGTTCCCATGATCTCCTTAAGAAATGGAAGAAAGGGCAGCAGTAAATATCATGTATTCTTACCTGTTACTACTTAATTCTAGAGGACAGTATCTAGAACATTGAGAGAGTGCATGCATAAAAGTGTCAAGGCTAATGGAATGACTTTGGGTAGCCACAGTCATTAGTAACATACCACGGATGCCAATTGGGCAAAAGCTATCAGGAACCAGTTCTATCACCCCAAAAAAGGCAAAGATAAGGGAAACTTGGTTTTAGACATCTTGTCACACAATAAAAGTAGTGGCAGAAGGAGGCAATTCCCATTTTCATGTCATCTGACCTTGTATCAAAAAAGAGGAAAAAGTCTACCATAATCTTCATTCATTCAAACACTATTTCACTCTATAAACAAACGTGGGTAAAGACTACATTAGACAGTTGGCAGAGCCAGCGAGGACACATGTGCTCCCTGGCCCACAGAGCATACAACCTCACGAGAAGGTAGGAAATAGTAAGTCCTATGAATGGAGAGAAGCCCCATATCAGGAAAGGTGGCCAAAAGGACAGGATAACCCAGGTGAAACTCAAATGAGAAACCAGCTACCAGAAACAAATATTCTAGACAATGCGAAGGCATGTACAAAGGCTAGGAGGTAAAACAGCCTGGCACATTTTAAGGAAACAAAGATTCGGAAAAGCTGGTGAAAAAAATGCTTGAAGGAAAGGGGAAGAGGAGACACTGTGCAAAGACAGATGGCATCAGAGAGGACAGTGGCACCAGACCATCCAGGGTCTTATAAACCACATTTGGGGGGTTAACCTTTATTTTAAAACATTAAAAAGAAGCCACGGAAGGGTTTTAAGCAAATAAATGATTTGGCCAGACTTGTGTTTTTCTGAAGGCACTCTGGCTGGTATGGGAAGTGAATTAAAGAAAAGTAACCTGAAAAGGAGGAGACCAGTTAGGAAATTTGTAAAGCCAATCAGATGAACAATGACCACCAAAATTTTCAAAAGGCAAAAAACAAAGGAAAATACTTAAGTATGAAGACCTTCGTACTGAAAGTCTGGACAAGAATTTTTTAGAAACAGCTACCACACTGTTGTAGCCTATGATTAAATCTATACCTTCATCTGCCCCACTATCCTTTATCCAATATTGGTCCCAACCTCTTTTGTGAGAAATAAACCCTATATCCAGCTGTATCAACCAGCTGTCCAACACAGTAGTCACTGGCACATGTGGTTAAACTAAAATATATTTTACAATTTATTCTTCAGTAGCAATAGCTAATTTTCAAGTGAACAACAGTAGAGGTGGCTAGTGGCTACTCAATGTCCAGCGTAGTATAAACATTTCCATCACCACAGAAAGGTCTACTGGACAGTGCTGTGCTACAGATATACCTAAATTTGCCACTTCACTAGGAAGGCCTACTTAAAACAACACTGAAGGCACCTGTGCCTTCACTCACTGTCTCATGCCCCTCTTTGCATATTAATAAGCCCTCACAGTGCAGTGAAGAATCATGGTGTATGAACCACAAGACAGGCTCTGTGTTTTGGCTCATTAATCCTCACTGTGCTCTGAAGAAATAGAAACGCAGCAGGTGTCACACATGTTTTATAGGTGAGGACACCAAGGCACAGAAATTAACCTGCCTCAAGCTATAAAGTCAATAATGGAGTCACAAATAAAAGCCAGATTCCCTAACGACCTGACCAGTGCTCCATTCATTAAAGTAGTCATGGCTGATTTAAGAACGCTAGAATGAAAACTAAACAGTTTCACTTGACCTAGGCAATGATTTGCTTTACCAAATGGCTTGCTACACATACAGGAGGGTCATATCTGTTAGGTCCTTATAAAGAAATAGTTTTCTCTGTTAGGTCCATGTATATAGACACACACACACACACACACACACACACACACACACACACACACACACGAATATATATATACATCCCCTGAATTTGCACCAATTATCTTATAACCTGTGATCAGAGATAAAAGAAATTAGACACATTTACTGAAACTAACAGCACCAAGGTATGGTACATTCTTACTTTGGTTTTCAATTATGTTAAATGGTTACCAATAAAGATTACAACCTAGAAGCTCTGCATTTTATAACTTATTTACATCTGTTACCATTGAAAGCCTGATTTTTTTGTGCTCTTTTTTAACCTATAGAAGCAACAAGAGCACAGAAAGGCAATGCCTGCATTTTCATTTCAAATGAAATGAAATTAAGTGAAAAGAATAAACTTAATTAACTGAAAAGAAAAAAATAATACATAGGGAGACATGAATCAAGTTACAGATTAAAGATACAAAATCCACATATAGCATTTACTTGTGATACTCTTGACAACAGCAATTTTAGAACCCACCTGCTGGCATTCACTAATGCATCTCTGTGTCCTGCCACAAAAAGTTTACCCAGAACTGCATGTGAATGATGTGAAAAATCTAAGAAATAATTCAACTGCCCTTGCCCAATATTAAATTTTTATATGCTTTACCTGTTATTACACACACAGAAAAATAAGATGGGAATGAAATATTTAAAATAATTCCAAACTATTAGGAAGCATACAAAATAATTATTTCTACAATAATTAGTTATTAAAGAATAAATCAATCTATAGAATATAAACACTAAGTGAATTTTTCCATTAAATGAAAGCTTCCAAAATTAATTTGACAATTGTTTCGGAATTAAGAAAGTGAATCTCCTCCAAAGATGTCAGCACAGTCATCCCTGTTGGTATCCATGGGGAATTGGTTCCACAACCCCTGTGATGTCAAAATATGCAGCTGCTCAAGTCTCTTATAAAAAATGGCATAGTACTTACTTGTAAACTACATATATCCTCCCATATACTTTAAATAATCTTCAGATTCCTCATAATACCTAACAGTATGCAATGCTGTATAAATATTTATACTATATTGTTTCACTTAATTATTATTTTTTATTGTTTTTCCCTATTATTTAACTTTTATTTTATTTTAGGTTTTTATTTAAGTTGTGAAGGTTATATAGGTAAACTTGTGTAGTGGGGGAATGCTGTACAGATTATTTCACCACCCAGGTATTGAACCCGGTAAGTAATAGGTATTTTTTCTGCTCCTCCCCTTTCTCCCACCCTCCTCTCAAGTAAACCCCAGTGTCTGTTGTTCCCTCCTTAACTTGTATTCATGAGTTCTCATCACTGAGCTCCCATTTATAAGTGAGAACATGTGGTAGTTGGTTATCTGTTCCTGTGTTAGTTTGCTAAGGAAAATGGCCTGCAGCTCCATCCACGTGCCCACCAAAGACATGATGTCATTCTTTATTGTGGCTGCATAGTATTTCATGGTGTATATGTACCACATTTTTTTATCCAATCTGTCATTAATATTTTCCCAATATTTTTGATCTGCAGTTGGCTGAATCTCGAATATGAAACGCAAGAATATGAAGGACCAATTGTATCATAAAGAAAAAGGGCATGAATGCTGATTATAAATGCAGAATCTGATGATCACATCTAATTTTAGCTGTGAAAGAGAAGAAAGTCATCAACTTGAGTATTAAAGTCTCTGCTTTATCACATACCTTGATTCAAGAATATAAGTCAATTTTTTCAATAATTTTTAAGTTGAACTACTTACACAGCATTCCTGGAGGCTCCACAGGAAAGTAACAGCTTGACTATATCCATGTGCCCATTCTTGGCTGCATCGTGAAGTGGTGAGTCATTTTGATACCCAGTGGTGTTCACCAATGCCTTATGCTGAAGCAATAATTCCACTACCTTCAGGTGCCCATGATTGCAAGCTTCATGCTAATTACATTTTTGAAAAATAAGTGAAAGAAGTGATAAGAAAGAGCAATGAATGATATTATATCATACTTTAGAAAAATGTAAATGTCGGGACTCCAAGTTTGGGTCTTCTCCTATGACCACTCCCTTCGTGGAAGCTGTCTTTCTCTCTCCTGGATTTCCAGATCTCTGGACTCCCCTCCCACATAGCGGGAGCTCTCTTTCCCCTCCCAGATTTCCCCTCTGTGGTCCACTTCCACCCAGTGTGGAAGCTGCTTTTCCTCTCCTAAACTCCATCTCTCTCTGTCAATTCCCTACCACTCAGTGTGGAAGCTGCCTTCCCTCTCCTGGATTCCATCTTTCTGGATTCTCTCACTCAGTGTGAGGGGAACTTTCCTTCTCCGGTTTTCCTCACTCAGTGTGAGAGCGGCTTTTCTTTCTCACACTCAGTGTGAGAGTTAGCTGTTTCTCTCTCCTTCTCCTTTTTCACCCTCTGCTTTAAATAAATCACTTTCTACGGAAAAAAAAAAAAAAAAAAAAAGAAAAGAAAAATGTAAATGTCAGGCAGTAAATTTACTGTTACCTAAATACTCATGAAGACTGTTAAGTTGTTGACAGAATGAAAGTTACTATTAACTGATCTTTCTGATAAAGATCTGTGTAATTCATGAAAAAAGAAAAGGCAATTCATTTGAGCCTTGGGTCAAGCACGTTTACTTTTTTTTTTTTTTGAGATGGAGTCTCGCACTATTGCCCTGGCTGAAGTTTAATGGTGCAATCTTGGCTCACCCCAACCTCTGTCTCCAGGGTTCATGTAATAATCCTGACTCTGCCTTCTGAGTAGCTGGGATTACAGGCACACACTACCATATCTGGCTAATTTATTTTGTATTTTTAGTAGAGACCGGGTTTCACTATGTTGGCCAGACTGGTCCCGAACTCCTGACCTCATGATCTGCCTGCCTCGGCCTCCCAAAGTGCTGGGATTACAGGCATGAGCCACTGCGCCCAGCCCACTTTTTTTTTTTTTTTTTTTTTTTTTTTTTACTAGAAAATGTAGCTTTAAACCAACTTTAGCTCCTTGTTCTACAATAAATTTAAAACATTAAAAAAAAGACTATGTATTTAATAACAAGATGATACATAAAAATCTGTACCAGTACATACACATATCATGCAACAAAGTATCTGTGAAGGAGTGCTTTGCTGAACCTACGGAGAGCTGTATGACTGCTGTCATTAATAAGAGAAATAACATGAGTAGGAATACAAAAAGGGCTTGCTGAATGACTGACCTGGTAACAATGGAATGTTCAAAGATGCCTTAGGTACAAATCTTTCCTTATGTTTAATGAACTACTAACAATTTGTATTCTACTAGATCTCTCGTATTCTATACTTTTTAAGTACATCTATTTCAATTCATAATAGGTGATACCACACTCAACATCTGTAGGTCTATTTTTAGGAGAAAGGAATCCTAATTAGGCATTAAACCCTCTAAATCACTAACCAATCTTTACTACAACTTGTTAGTAGCTTTGAAGAAAAAAAATTAACCTTTCTTTGAAAAGGTTAGCTGGCCAGTAGAGTCCAACCAGCAAAGTGACTGATCCAGACTAAACCGTCCCAGCTTTTTAATTTCTGGGCTGAATTTCTAGTTTACAGGATGAAGGCATCTACTTCATTTGCTGACATTTCTGTGGCTGCATTCAAATCTCACGTTTATTTTTCCTAATGTAATTAGCCTACGTAGCAATTGTTTCCAAGTATTTGTGTCATTCTGTTTCCAGATTATGCTTCACACTTTTACTAATAATAAGCAAAGACTTTTAAAACTGTTTAATGTAAGCAAAGATTTCTACTGCCTTATATCTCTGCAATTGGATAGGGTATAAGTGAGGCTGAGATAGACCCTCAGTAAGAATTACTTCCTTGTGATCACTTTCCTATACCCAGTTCCTCTGACCCCTTTTTGTTCCAAGAAATTTGGTTCCAGTGACATGCAGTGCTACACAATGGAGCCTGATGCCAGCTGTAGCTGTAATCTCCAGACATTAGCTAAATTCTGCAATATAGTACAAGTAGATTCCTAAATCTAGTCTGTCAAAAGGTAACCAATTTCTTGCCTGTCACAAATGAAAAGCTAGAAGGAAAATAATCATGTTCTCATACTTGATGAAAACATAAATTCTTCAGACTAAAAAGAGTATATGTGGCAGAGGATGATATATAGACAACTACATAACTATATAAGAACTGTAAAACATAAAAAGAATGAGAATAAAAACCAGACAAATACCAATGGTGTCCATCCAGCATGGTCTTTAACATTTGGGTCACTTCCATTTTGTAAAAGGTATTCAACGGAAGGTATGTCGCCCTAGAAAAATGAACAAAATAGAAAGAAATTAAAAAGCATTAAGGAAAGAAAGGAAAATATTGAGATTTTTCAAATGCTATCTTCAAGATAAAGTAAAACTTAAATCACTGTCTCTTAAGGCTACTGTTCATAAGTGAATAAAGAAATCATTAGGCCAGGTGTGCTGGCTTACGCCTGTAATCCCAGTACTTTGGGAGGCCAAGGTGAGTGGATTATCTGAAGTCAGGAGTTTGAGACCAGCCTAACATGGTGAAACCCCATCTCTACTAAAAATACAAAAAATAGTTGGGCATGGTAGTACCACCCCATAATCCCAGCTACTTGGGAGGCTGAGGCAGGCGAATCTCTTGAGCCCAGGAGGCAGAGGTTGCAGGGGGTGGAGATCATGCCACTGCACTCCAGCCTGGACCACAGAATGAGACTCCGTCTCAAAAAAAAAATAATAAAACAAACAAAAAAAGAAATTATCTATGCATAAATTATTCTGAGATATCAAGAAATATGGTCATGCTTGAATACAGACTACAAAATCTATTAGCAAGCCATATTCAAAATTCATTTCACGGTAACAAATAAAGGACACTAGCTAAAGATCATCTGCTCATAATGAAGTTTTAAAAGCCATAATTTTATTTGTGAAAAAAACCATTTTTGAGTATATATGTCAATGGCTTCTGGGTATTGTTTAAAACAGACAAAACTGTTTAGCCCAGAAGACTACTCAGTGAAACCAAAGTTAAAGAACAGCCAAAAACTGTAATTTTATTGGCAGTTACTCCATCCTAATACGTTCATTTAGTTTATATTCACCTTATTTGTTCAACGATTTCTACAAAGCAACAGTTGCTCTGTTTAAAATGGCAGACGAGATCAGTAGCAACCTATTCAAACCAGCCCACGGAATCAGCATTACATTTTTATCCCCTGCCCCCTGCCCGGTTCAAGACTAAGATCACCACCCATTATCAACTGACTCTACAGGAAATAGAGCTTCTGCAAATCCGTGATGTAACCTTACAAATCTCTTCTAACAAATGGTTTTCAACTTCTCACTCTCTATTTCCCTATTCCAGTACTCTGGAGATCTACACAATGATGTAACAGTAGCATACCAATGCAGTGGAGAGAGAAGGAAGATGAGGGTAAAGTAACAAGTACAATCACTTCACTTTAGAATTCACCACCTCTTTTTGTATGAGATGAGAAAGATCTGGGGAATAAGTGAATTAAAATAAGGCACAAGGCAAGGAAAATAAAGGCAGACAATATTAATTTGGCTTTTATAATATTAAGACATTATCAATTACTAAACAGCATTAAAATTAAAGTCCCCTTCCCAGTTTTGAACTTTCTGTGTCTTGTGTGTCATGATCCAACTAAATCCTACTACAAGTGAGTGGACCTTTAAGGTCACTTTAAAGCTGTCTTTTGAAGTAGGAAATAAAACAGCTTCCTTCTGCTGCCGGCCTCCAGTGAAGGTAGACTCTGGCAAAGGAGTTAAGTCTGGGGAACTGGTCTCAGGTAGTCTGCCCTCTCTCTCTCCTTTTTTATTCCTTTCCCTAGAAGTGAGACACACAATCCTTAAGCTATCTAATACCAAGGTCTCTTAAATTCTTCCCTTCATGTAATGTGGGAAGATCTGACATCTGCCTTTTATATTTACTTACATATTATGTTTTAAGTATCAGTTAACTCTTAAAGGCTTTTTAAAACTCTCTAGCTGTAAAATAAGAGATACCGCCCCTTTGTAAAATAATGTCAGGCTACAGGAAGAAGGAGGCATTTATGGCATGGGACAAAGGTAAAAATTTTCTTGAAATTACACTATTATCACCAGTCACTGCAAATATAACTAAACCAGTTCTTTTAGAATAACAGGAGAGGGTACAATATCTAAGTCCATGAAGATTAAGGCAAAAATAGCTAGCAGAGGGTACTCTTAAAAAAGACTGAAAAAAAGCCATAGATGACAGAAGTTACATATATAACACTGTGTTCAAAGAGTTTTGTGAAGTGCTTCTTTAGTGAATAAATCTCTCCCCTCCCACCCCTACCCCTAGTACTCTTTTCTGAAATGATTTTTTTCCTCTGTTGGTTTGACAATGCAGAAATCACTAATTCTCCTAACATTTGATTTTTTCTTTTTAAAAAATTTTACTGACTGGGTGCAGTGGCTCACGCCTATAATCCCAGCACTTTGGGAGGACGAGGCAGGTGGATCACGAGGTCAGTGGATCACAAGGTCAGGAGTTCAAGACCAGCCTGGCCAACATGGTGAAGCCTCATCTCTACAAAAAATACAAAAATTAGCTGGGCCTGGTGGTGCACACCTGTAATCCTATCTACTTAGAAGGTTGAGGCAGAATTCCTTGAACCTGGGAGGCAGAGATTGCAGTGAGCTGACATCATGCCACTGCACTCCAGCCTGGGTAAACAGAGTGAGACTCCATCTCAGAAAAAAAAAATGCTTTTTATTTCTAATTGTCTCTGTTTCCATGCTCTGGGTGCTTCTCAAATATAGCAAATCTTCAGTTTTCTAAAAAAGTAAATCCACATGCAACATATATTTTTATACTCCTAAATTAACAAAATTACCATAAATGCTCGATGGGCATAAAAGGATCATAGGTTTCAAATCAATTGCCCCAGTTTCAAGGAAAAAAATTTAAAAAGGAACATTTTATTATACTTCTAGAGGAAGTTATCATATATTTAGCAACTGGAGTGCAATGGCATAGTTCACTGTAACTTCAAGCTCCTGGGCCCAAACAATTATCCTGCTTCAATCTCCTGAGTAGTAGCTGGGACTACAGGTATATACCACGAAGCCTGGCTTATTTTTTTATTTTTTGTAGAGATGGGGGCCTGTGTTGCCCAAACTAATGGACTCAAGCAATCTCCTGCCTCAGCTTCCAGAATAACTGGGATTACAGGTGTGAGCCCCTGCAACTTTTGCTTTATATTCATATCAGTTACAAATGAATGCAGGAATATCTGTCAAGATACAAATTTGATTTTTTTCAATAACAATCCCGTAAAAAGTGAGCAGATAAACCACCAGAACCACACACATTCCCTATGTTCAACATGAAAGTACTCACACACAAAAAAACTTTCTCAAACATTTCCCCATTCTAATTCTACGTGGTAATGAAAAAACATATTAAAGAAGATCAAAAAATAATATAAACACAATTGTGAAATGGAAGAGTCTCATGGAAATAGTCAAACAGAAACAGAGTGACAATTTAAAGAATAAACGTAGACTCTCTTTCAAGGTTGCCAGACCGTTGCTATTTTTCTTACATGTCACCTCTTCATATTATCAAAGTGTCTTCTGTTAACATTCTACCCACCTCTTGAACTGTATAGCTGATTCGCAAACGGCCTGCTTTTTACAACCAATCTGCTTTCTCCTCTCTAGTACTTGAAAGTTTGTCGTATTTTCATCTTTCTACTTCATGTAAATTTAATGTCATGCTCATAAATAAAATTATGATAATTAGATAGAGTCTACAGTAACTGGATGAGCTTGAACTGATACGAAGTAGCCAGGAAATAAATTAACTTTTGATTCTGGCTTCTTTCAATTAGTTTCAAGTACTGATTTTTGGGCTCCTCACAACTTGAAAGAATAATTAAACTTTTCTTAAACCATAGCAAAAAAAATTTATCTAAGGAAAGTATTTGCCAAGCCTTACTAAAAATGTTAAATGAATTTGGTATTTTCAAGTAATACACTGAAGGCTGAAAATAAGAGTCTTTATGAGTGTGTCCCACTGAATCTTTTATTGCTTATTTTTCAAAGGAAAGATCCTTCACACATTTGTACATACTACAGATCCACGCATATTCCAGCAATATAAATTAAATTCCCAAAAACACACATACAAGAACAAAACTTTTTCCTTGTGATAAAGGTTAGCTCTTCTTTCTTAAAGACAATACAGAACATTACAAGTACAAGACAAATGGCTTTCCCAGCATGGTTAAGCTTTTCCATGTAAATGAACCAACCAGGAACCTAAAACTTCCCTTCTTCGCAAAAGATGCCATTAAAACAAACAAACAAAAATTAACCATCTGGAATGAAGCTCTAAAAATGTTAAATATTTCTCTGGCTTCTTAGTCAGAATTTGCTGAATAAAATACAGGGATACCTCGGAGACATTATCAGTTCAGTTCCAGACCACTGCAATAAAGTAAATATTGCCGTAAAGCAGGACACACGAATCTTTTGGTTTCCCAGTGCATATAAAAGGTATATGTACACTATACTGTAGTCTCCTAAGTGTGCAAAAGCATTATGTCTTAAAGAAAATGAACAGACCTTAATTTAAAATAACTGTATTGCTAAAAAATGGTGACAAACTTTTTGCTGGTGGATGGTCTTGCCCTGATGCTGCTGGCTGCTGACTAAGCAAGCAGGTGGTTGTTGAAGGTTGGGGTGGTTGTGACAGTTTTGTTTTTTTAAAGATGGAGTCTCACTCTGTTGCCAGACTGGAGTGCAGTGGTGTGATCTCTGCTCACTGCAACCTCCAACTCCAGGGTCCAAGCAATTCTCCTGCCTTGGCCTCCCAAGTAGCTGGGATTACAGTCACATGCCACCACAACCAGCTAACTTTTGTATTTTTAGGTGAGAAGGGGTTTCGCCATGTTGGCCAGGATGGCCTCGATCTCTTTACCTCGTTATCCACCCACCTCAGCCTCCGAAAGTGCTGGAATTACAAGCGTGAGTCGTCACGCCCAGCCAACAGTTTCTTAAAACAAGACAACAATAAAGTATGCCACATTGACTGACTTCATTTCATTAAAGATTTCTCTGTAGCATGTGATGCTGTTTGGTAGTATTTTATCCATGTAGAACTTCTCTCAAGATTGGAGCTAATCCTCTCAAATCCTGCTGCTGTTTTATCAACTAAGATTAAGTAATTTTCTAAATCCTTTGTTGTCAATTTCAACAATGTTCACAGCATCTTCACCAGAAGTAGATTCCATTT